GGATGCATCTCACTACAGCCTATAACTATGATAGTTGACACACCCCCATAGGTTAAGTGAGGGGCATCAAAACAAGCAAGGCAGACAAACGGTCACAAGACCAGTCAAGACAAGAAGCAAAGCAAGCTCAGGGTGGATCTCAAGGACACCACACAAATTCCGAGCGCAAGCAAGCGGCCACAAGGTCAGTTCAAGAGTTCACTAGGATATATATAGGAAAGCACAACAAGCAGAGCAAGCAACAAGACTACAGCAACCGAGGGCCTACCTCAACAAGCCCCAACTGCACACAGAACCTGTGGTGGTCACCAAGCGCCAGGGCCTTGGTGAAGACATCTGCAGTGTTGGCCTCTGGGGCCACAAAGTCCAGGCGTGCCTGGCCGCGTCGCTGCAACTCTCGCAGGAGGAAGTACCTCACGTCAATATGCTTCACTCTGCTTTCCAGTCGAGGCTATTGACAGAGGAGGATCATGGCCTTGTTGTCAGCGTACAAGGTCGGTGCAGAGCGAGGCCGCTCACCAAGGTCGGCGAGCAAGAAGTTCAACCAGCGAAGCTCCTGTGCCGCCATGGCACCAGCGTAGATCTCTCCCTCTGCACTGGAAGTAGCCACAGACGACGACCGCGTAGACCTCCACGACACAGCACCAGCTCCCAGACTGAAACAGTAACCCTGAGTCGAGCGCTGAGTCGCCACGTCGTCAGCGTAGGAAGAGTCGCAATGACCAGTCAACGCCACTGGTTGAGTCCCTCCAAGCACAAGCCCCATGCCTGATGTAGTCGCCAGGTACTTCGCCACCCACACAGCAGATGTCCAGTGGACAGGACGGTGTCTCCCAATCGCAACAAAGCGAGAAAGGATGCTGAGGGGAAAGGCGAGGTCCGGCCGAGTACAAGTCATCAGGTACATGAGGCAGCCCACCAGCTCTGCGTAGGGACCACTGGACTCAAAGGGCTCGTCCGGAAAAGGGCCAGTGAGTCTGTGGTCAACCGCAAGAGGTGTGGGCTATGTGGTGGAGAACTGGAAGTCGAACAGCCGAAGGACCTGCTGCACCATGTGTGACTGAGTCAGTGTGATGGTGCGAGCGGCTCTGTCCCTGGTGATCTGCAGGCCAAGGTAGCGCTGCAGTTCACCTAGGTCAGTGCACTTGTGTCTCTTCTGCAGTTCGGACTTCACCTGAGCCAGAGCTGCCCTGTCTGCTGTGGCAAAGACCAAGTCGTCGACGTACACTAGTATAAAGAAAGGAGTGGAACCAGTGCGAACAAACAGCGACGGGTCGGCAGAGGAAGGACGAAACCCAAGGTCACAAAGCGTGGAGCGAAGAGTGTCGTGCCACTCACGGGGCGACTGGCTTAGACCGTAGACTGGCCGTCTCAGGCTCCACTGGGTCCCAGGTGGGAAGGTGTCAGTGAAGCCAGGAGGTCGGCGCAGCCATATCTCCTCGTGTAGTCGGCCCTAGAGAAACGCAGTAGAGAAGTCAAGGGAGTGCAGCTCGTAGTCTCGCTGTGCTACTACGTGCAGTAACACCCGAAGAGTAGTCATCTTCAGGGTCGGGGCGAAGTTCTGGAAGAAGTCAACTCCCTCACGCTGACTGAAACCCCTAGCCATGTAGCACGCCTTGAACACAGGCGGTGAACCAGGCGGCCGCTTCACCTTGAAGAGCCACATGCCATCGACTACGTTCGCCCTGGGAGGGGGAACTGCGTCGACGTAGGTGCCTGTGGATCTCCAAGACGCTAACTCCGAGGCCATAGCCGCTTTCCACTGTGAGGCCCACGCCCCTGACACTGCCTCGCGGTAAGTACGAGGAGTCGGTATGTCAAGGGCGTTGGAGTCTCCCTCAGAGGATAGCAGCATGGCCCAGACAGAGGGAGAAGCGGCTGCCTAGTACTCCAGCTCATACTCTCTGTCCTCTAGGACGTCACAGCCAAGGGCAAACTCACCCCTGACGGACAGAGGACGGGAGGGAGGAGCTGGCACCACACGGGTGGTGTAGTCAAGGCGACTGGCGGCAGCAAACTCAGCGACAGCGGCAGTGAGAGCCGAGACAGATGACAGAGGGAAACGAGAGTCGGTGACAAGAGTGGCGAGGACACGAGAGACAACAGGACGAACAACACGGTAGTAGTCAGTGACAGGAGTAGGGGGGAAAGGGAGAGAGGACGGAGGAGGAGACGGGAGAACGGACTCAGGAGGAGGACGACGAAGAGACGAACAAAGGAGGGCAGTGCGGAGGTCGGTAACGGGAGACGAGTGACGAGCACGCGGAGGACAGGGACGGACACGAGAGTGTGGGACAACAGGTGGAGGAGACTGTGGTGGAGGAGAAGACCGGACCGCCGGACTGTCGTCAGGAGGAGGAAACGTGGAGGAGAGGAGGGAAGACCAAGGGCCCGAAGGCCACTCACGGGTGGGAACAACTGCCGCTCCAGAGGGAGCTGCGGTGGGCGCGGCTGCGGCGGCGGTGTCTGCTGCTGCGGCGGCGGCTGCTGCTGCTGCTGCTCCAGCAGGTCCAACTGCCGCAACTCCTGCCGCTCCCTCTCCAACACCACCTGCTCCTCACGCGCACGCCGACGGGTCGCTTGGAGACGCGTGTCGTGGCAGTGGGGAGGCGGAGTGGACTCCGCAGAACCAGTGTCTCCAGCTCCAGTCTCCTCAGAACCAGCACCTCCAGTGCCAGCGCCTCCAGCACCAGCACCCCCACGACCAGCACCTCCAGGACCAGCACTCCCAGAACCAGCACCTCCTGTGCCAGCACCTCCAGCTCCAGCACCCCCAGAACTAGCACCTCCAGTGCCAGGACCTCCAACTCCAGCACCCCCAAAACTAGCACCTCCAGCTCCAGCACCCCCAGAGCTAGCGCCACCTGCGCCAGCACCTCCAGCTCCAGCACCCCTCGATTGAGCACCCCCAGACCGAGCACCGCCAGCGGCTGCACCTCCAGCTCCAACACCAACCGAGTCTACAGGAACCTGTCGCGGTAGTGCCGAAGGCTGCTGAGGGGACTGTGAGGAGGACTGCGGGGAGGGAGACGCTCCCTGACGCTCGACCGAGGGTAGAGGGGGTAGCGTGGGACACACCAGACGGGGTAGGACCAGGGGGGGGCGGGGATACCGGAGGAGCGGGAGCATGAGGAGGAGAGGGTGCGAGGAAAAGGGGGGGAGGGGGTACTGGGAGACCTCGACAGGGGTACCAGGTGTAGTAGGACACGGACTCGTCAAACCGGACGTCACGGGAGTCTAGGAACTGGTGGAGGGGAGGGTGGTAAAAGGACCAGTCGGCAGAGTCCACCGGGAAACCAAGGAAGACACAGGGGACGGCGCGTGCCGAGAGCTTGTCCGCGGAGGTGTCGCGAACAAGCGCAAGGCAGCCCCCGACACGAAAGGCCGACCCAACACCAGGGGACCCGGTCCAAAGACTGGTCGGTGAAGGCTCAGGCCGCGAGACGCGCGGCTGGAGGTTCAGCTGGTGTGCGGCGTAGCGAACCACGTAGGGCCACAGAAAATGGGGCGCACGGGCATGGATCATGGACGTGCGAGCAATGTCCATGACCAAGCCAATGCGGCGCTCAGCAACCCCATTCTGCTGTGGGGACTCCGGAAGCGTCCAGGACTGTACGATGCCGTGTTCGCCGCAGATTCCGCCAAGAATGCCGGAGCGAAACTCGCCCTCACGGTCGGAGTGTAGACAACTGACACGACGACCACGAGTGCCCTCAGTGGCCAGAAGCCACCGGATCAGCGTAGCAGTCACATCGGGCTTCTTCGCTAGAGGAAACACTGTGGTGTACGTGGAGAAGTCGTCGACGACCACCAGAAAGTAACGCTCTCTCCCAGATCCCTGCGTCGGGGCAGGGCCCCAGACGTCCAAGTGGAGAGTCTCGAAGGGAGCAGTGGCCGGACGAAGGGAGGAGGAGTGAGGAGTGGCGCGTAAGCGACCGGCGACGCAAGGAGTGCAAGGGGGAGCAAGTGAGGTAGGGAGCGACGGAAAGGTGCGTGGGAGACCTGTGACAAGCCCCTGGCTGGTCATGCCGCGGAGGCGGGGGAGCGACGGGTGACCAAGGCGGTGGTGCCACAAGACGATCCGGTGGGTGAGGGAGCGACAGGAGCAAGACGCAGCAACCAGACAGGACACCGCGACCGGACTAGACACTGCAACTGTACCAGACACGACCACCTGGCTAGACACAACAACCGGACTAGACACCTGGACTGGAGGGGACGCAACGACCAGAGCGGACGACGCAACCGGGGAGCGCTCGGTGTGGAGAACGTAGAGACAGGAGCGGGGCTCCCTGGTGAACGTGGCCAGAACAGCACCTGTGGCAGCGTCTGTACAGACCGCAGTCCTCCCACCCCCCACAAAGGTAACTGTGATCCCCCTGTCCTGGAGGTAACCAACACCCACCAAGTTCCGAGTGAACGAGGGGATGTGAAGGCCGCGCAGGACACCAGAGGGGACCACAGGACACGGGAGGGTAGTGGAGCTACGCGCAACGGCTGGTCCTGAGGTAGGATCAGCCAGAGCTACCGAAACAGGAGTAAGGAGTGGCGTGAGGGTCGTGTGGTCGCGGAAGAAGCACTGAGACGCACCAGAGTCCAGCGTGAAGGACAGGGACCCCTCAGCCGGAGGGTCACCTGTCCTAGTGGCTACACAAGCACCTAGAGCAGCAACACAAGCACCTAGACTAGAAAGGCACAAGTCTACACTAGCACGAGGCAAGCAAGCTAATCTACGAACACGCGAGCACACAAATCCATCAGCACTATAGTCAACATCAGCATACAAAGCATGCTGACGAGCATCGTCCATGGACAGATCAAACACATCAATCTTACGGGCTAACAGGTGAGCCCAGCGAGGCGTGGTCGCCGCAGGGCCCCAACGAGCACGGTAGAGGTCGTCGAGGCGGCGGAAGCACCGCACGGCAGAGTGGTCGTCGCGACCGCAGAGACAGGGGCTGCCCGGTCCGGTGAGGCACCAGTGGGTGCAGGGGCCAGTGTCACGGCGAGGGGGGCGAGGGGCCTAGCTGGAAGTACTGCCGCTGCGGCCGGTGCTCCCTGGTCCTCTCGGACCCCACTGCGACGGGGGACCTCAGTGCTGCTGCGGACCCCACTGCAATGGGGGCCCCCACTGCTGGAACTGCTGCGGTGCCTGCTGCTGCTTGCGGTCCCTGCTGCTGCTGATGTCCCTGCTGTGGCTGGTGCTGCTGCGACTGCTGCTGCTGGGGTCCAACACCCCCACTGGTCGGGCCACCGCCAATGGGCGGGCCTGTCTGTCCTGCACCTCCTCCAAGGCCCCCTCCTTCCGGTGCACCTCCTCCGCCGCCACCGCCGCCGCCGCCTCCACCACCGCCGCTCCCACCTCCACCGCCACCTCCACCGCCGCCTCCACCGCCTCCACCTCCCCCCTTCCCGCCCTTCTTGCTACTCTTGCCCCCGTTTCTGCCAGTCTGCGGCAGAAACGGCAGCAGTGTCGTCAGAAACCGACACAGCAGCAGAAGCGCGGGTAGCAGTGAAAGTGGGAAGCTGAGGGGCGGCACACCCCGCAAAGAGACAGGGGGCCACCGCGTCAGTGGCGGAGGCAACGGTAAGGAGGCTACTCTCGATCGTCCCGAGAGCGGTCTCAAGGAGATCGATAGTGAGCTCAGTGGGGTGCTTCTGGAGAAGCGCGTCGCGAGCAGTGGCAAGGCGGTCAGGGAGGCGGGTGACTAACCAGTGCACAGTGAGCCACATGGGTGGGGGAAGCAGCAAGAAGCTGGGCGTCGGTACAGGCCGCACGGAAACCTGCGTCAAGTGAGCGGAGGTGAGTGACTAGGTCGGACAAAGTCGCAAACGAGCCGAGTTCGGGAAACACGAACGGCATGAGGAGGCAACTAAGGGAGGCAGAGGAAGGGGTGGAATAGCGCGCAACAATAGCATCCCAAACCCCCTGAGCTGTCTCCACCTGGTCAAAGTGGGCGGCCTCAGTCGGGGGGAGGAGCTCCGTCAGCGCAAGAGCGGCGGCAGCGTCCCGGGAGTTCCACACGTCTCTCGCCAGGACCCGACGGTCGTAGTCCACCTGGGCCGCAGGAGTCGGCTCTGGGCTGGTCGGCAGGGGGGCGGGGGACTGGGGCGCCTTGAGGGCACCAGATGCATGGGCCCACAGGGTGGCGCCGTCCTGACACTGACTGGTGAGGTAGCGCGTGGTCTGGCGCTGCCAGGTACTGAACTCGATCGGGCGTCCCTCCTCATCAAACGAAGGCGGCGGGATTCCATAATGGAGGCCATGCTATAGGCGGCTGGAGCACGGAGGAGGCGGGTCTAAGAGCGAGGAGGGAAATCTAGGAGCGCCAGGTGTGGAGAGGCAAGAGATCGGCGGAGCTAGTGGCTAGGAGCTGGTGGCCACACGGGTCTAACCTAGGCGACCGGTGAGAGTAGCGGCTGCCAGCCGCTGAGTGGAAAAGCCTGTAGCAGTAGGAACGGTTTAGCCCGGGGGTCAGGGCGGTGGCTAGGTGAGAAGTGGCGGTTGGGACGTGAGGAGGAGGTGGCGCGTGGGTTAGGGCGCAGCCTAAGGCGAGGGCAAGGGCTAAGGCGAGGGCGCGGGGCCTAGGCGAGGGCGGGGGCGAAGGCGAGGGCGCGGGCCTAGGCGAGGGCGTGGGCTAAGGCGAGGGCGCGGGCCTAGGTCGCGGGCTGGGGCGACGGGCTAGGGCGCGGGCCGGGGCGACGGGCTAGGGCGCGGGCCTGGGCGACGGGCTAGGGCGCGGGCCGGGGCGACGGGCTAGGGCGCGGGCCTGGGCGACGGGCTAGGGCACGGGCTGGGGCGACGGGGCTAGGGCGTGGGCCTGGGCGACGGGCTAGGGCGCGGGCTGGGGCGACGGCCTAGGGCGCGGGGTGGGGCTACGGGCTAGGGCGCGGGCCGGGGCGACGGGGCTAGGGCGCGGGCCTGGGCGACGGGCTAGGGCGCGGGCTGGGGCGACGGGCTAGGGCGTGGGCCTGGGCGACGGGCTAGGGCGAGGGCCTGGGCGACGGGCTAGGGGCGCAGGCTAGGGGCGCGAGGGCGCTAGGCGTGGAGGTCCGCGACGACGTGGGTAGGGGCGCGGAGGGCGTTAGGCACGGAGAGCGCTAGGCGCGGAGGTCCGCAACGGCGTGGGCTAGGGGCGCGGTAGGGCGCTAAGGCGCGGAGGAGGGGCGCTAAGGTGCGGAGAGGGCGCGGAGGGGCGCGGAGGTGCGCTAGAGAGGGCGCGGGCTAGGAGGTACGAGGAACTAACCTACTCGTGATACCATCTGAAAGTTAGAATGCAACGGAATGAATGAACTAGCAAAGTGTTGGATACAAATAGGAAACCCTAACATCTGTAACCTCTAAAATGCATCTCATTACAGCCTATAACTATGATAGTTGACAGAAGATTCCATATGGGTAAGATAGAAATTTGAGGTATTTAATTCAAGCCCTCATAAAGAATCAGGAGGGGGCGTTACACTGTTTTCAATTCCTTTAGAATCAGTTACCAATGCCGGTGGTGTTTTTTGCATTGTATCAGCAGTTTAGATTTGAGCCATTCTAACACATTAAGGCATTTAGTAGGAACGGCCTAACACATAATATTTACACTTGAGGTAATTCTGTAAGGAGTCCTCGACTGAGTATTGCCAAACCTAAACACCCTACCGTGCCAGAGTTCGCTCCCACGACCACAACACCGCTGGCGAATCAAACACGGCCAAGGGTGCGCTTCCCTCTGCCACATGGCGTGCTCTGTGCGTTGAACATGCTTGTTTTTTTCGCTCGCGCCGCTAATTGAGTTGAACCGAGCCGCGGATAGTGCATTCTGAGTTTTGATACGAGTTTCTGCGCTCGGCATTTTCAACACAACAGATGCTGCCTCACCGACCACTCACTCAGTGTCCTCTCGAGACACTCTACTCTCCAGCCACATGGAGAGTAGAATCGTCATTTCATCGTGAGTCACTGGGTCGCCTTGAGAAGAGGATAACATCTCACGTTCGGTCTAGACTCACTTACAGGCAGCACAGTCGCGTGGTTGGCCCTGATTCTTCCGCCCCAAGTCATGTGTATTAGGCAGCTCTCGCTGCTCCTTCCCCTCACAGTTGCACTCATCGCCACTCCCGTTTGCTCGACAGCTGGCACTCCGCGGCGGCAGTTGCGGAAGGCGCAGCCAGCAGTGACACCAAACGCCACGCTCGTCCTGCTTGCGAACAACACGTTCGGCGCTAAATGCCTCGACGGAAGGTACTTACTAGCCAGCCAGCTGTCCGCAGCGAAAGGTTTATAATAGTCGCGACGGAGGTTGCGAGAGTTGTCGGAGGTTGCGGAAGGAGCAAGCTCGCGGCTGACTAAATGGAAATCGAGTCTCTTCCCACCATGGTAGTCGCACGCTGAACAGCTTACCCCGGCTGCTTGCGTAAGCACACTGGCATCTCGCGGGCTCCCGTGCACTCAATTCTCCTGCGTTCGCCGGACCACTCATCCGCGCCCTCAGGCGCGATAGGATTTACAGGCACCCCATATCCACTCGACAGCCCCTCGACGCCGAAAGAGTGGGCCTCCACTCCTTGCACGCGCGCCCACCTGTCGTGGTGCGATCGTGGCTGGTCGCGAGCCGAGTGTGGCTCTGCTCAAATCGCGGACGTTGGAAAGGAACACCCGTACGCTGCGTTTTCCCGTCCCTTCTTCCCCCTCCTTCCAGCTGGTCTGCGACGTCTTCCCTCCTCGCTGACTCCCCGTCGCACTCTTCCGCCCTCCCGTCACCCCCCTCGCCATGTCCCCGCGTGCACACAGTGGCGACGCGCCGTGGGCTCTCTGGCAGCTCAGCCACCCGCGGGAGTTGCCGCCACGCGGAGCAGCTGGTCGGCGCAGCCGCCACTTCCGCCTTCCAGCGCCTTCGACCCGCCCAGAAACCTCAAACACCCCGTTCCCTTACCTTTCCCCTCTACCTCGGCCCGCGCAGTCCCCCCGGGTACTACTTCCGCCCAGGCGCGGCAACGGGCCGTCTCCGGTGGCACATCTACCTGCCCGGAGGCGCGTGGTGCGTCACCCCCGCCGACTGCGCCGCCAGAGCCGGCACGCGCCTGGGGTCAAGCAAGAGCTTCCCCGCCAACCCCCCGCCCCGCGCACTATGTGAGACCTCCCGACTCCGCCAGTCACGGGGGGGGGGGGGGGCGTTCGAACGGGGGGGGCGTTCGAACACTGTTCCTGTATTCTTCTTTTCGCTCCTCTCCCCTAATGTTCCCCACTCCCTTGTCCTTTATTCAAGCCTTGCTTTCTTCTGATTCTTGCGAAAATGAGTCCTTCTCTGTCGACCTTTTTTTATCCCAAATTGGTGCAAATATCTCCATCCCCATTCCGCCTCGCTCATCCCCCCATCACGGCATGCCGTCTTCCGATCCGCTTAGTACGCGTGCCCCTCACAATTTCCACCCCCCCCTCCTCTGTCCTCCCCCCCCCCCCTTCCTTCCGCCTCCCCCCTCTCCCGCGCGGCTGCAGGCGGCGCAGCTGAGGCCGCCGTTCGAGGGCATTCTGTCGGGCAGCGCGCAGCAGAACCCCGCGATGTACCAGTGGAACCTCGTGCGCCTCATCTACTGCGATGGGGGCGGGTACGCCGGCACCAGGGTGCGCTCAACGTCTCTGCTGCTGCTGCTGTCCCTCCGAACGCAAGCGCCGCTGCCAACTCAACGAGCCCTTCCAATTCCACCAAGTCAACCAAGTCAACCGGTCAACGAAGTCATCCGCATCCACGACGTCAGCCATTTACCTGGACGGGTGGAACATCATTCAGGCCGTGATTCAAGGTGCGCCACCCGCTCGCCCACTCCACTGTGCTCTGCGTGTGCCCCCTTTGCTGTCTGCAGTGCACGCGGTGTCTTCAACCTCATACTGCCATGGCACCAGCCACTCACCACTAGGTCCCCATTTCCCGCTCTCCCTTTCGCCCCTCCTTGACCTCGTCCGGCCTCTCCCCTCCTCTCACCTATATCGTTTCGTCTCGCCTCGCTCGTCTCAGTGCTGCCTGCTCTCCATCCCTTGGCACTCCAACCCCACCCTCCCTCTCTCTCCCCGCCTGTCCCCTTGCACTCTTTACCTCGTTCTCGCCGCCTTGCCTCTTCACATCCTCTCCTTCTCGCCCGCCTCGCCGCCTTGCCTCTGCCCCTCCTGCCATGCAGACCTCGTTCAGAAGCGTGACATGCGCTCAGCCTCACAGATTCTTCTTTCAGGCAGCTCAGCAGGAGGGCAGGCGACAGTGAACCTCTGTGATTGGCTGGCGTCGTCCTTCCCATCTGCCTCCACGCGCTGCCTCGTTGACTCGGGCTTCTTCCTTGGTACGCCCCACCGCCCTTCACCTAGTATCCTCCAACGCCTTCTCAACACTGTTCCGTGTGCTACGTGTGGTCTCCACGTGAGTAGGCAAGCCTCCAACTCTGAAGCTGAAGCGTTATTGCTAAGGAAGGAACATTTTGGGCGTGTGAAGGTGTGCTTTTCGCATGTTATTTATGGGAGCGGTTGGCTAACCTCACCAGCTAGTAACCTGTTTGGACACAGTGAGGTGCAGTGAGTGCGCTCTCTCCAGCAGTGCACAGAGTGTTTTTGAACGAGGCACGCACAGCTTGATCACCTCGTGCAACACTCAAGGCCACTTCTTGTGTCTTCTTCATCTATCTCTTCCTTCCTCTGTCGTGCAACAACAATCCATCAACCCTGTCGGACTTCCCCCCCAGACAGCACTACACGTGACCGCGCTATGAACTACACCTTTCGCTCGCTGGCTCAGA